TTACCATCTGCTGTATACTCTGGATCTCTGGAGAGTTTTACCAATTATAAAGTGACTGAATGGAAATATAATTAGGTACTTCTCAGATTCCTTATGCTTTTGACTTCCTTTTGTGCTGTTAGGCATAAGAGCTCTCCACCTTAAGGCTTCTCTAATATTTTAATTTGCTCATTTAAGTTATCTCACATTTTGTTCCCTTGGTGCCAAATTATTAGTCTAGCATGCTAGAGTGTACTTAGAAACTAGACTCATTGCACTAGGAAGGGCACCCTAGCACCGTTCCACAGCTCATTCACAAGACGATTTCTTTTCATGAATTTAAAAATGACCAAGTTTCCCTCTTGATTACAGCCAACTTTCTTTGGACAGATCTTTCTAGGAAAAACAATCCTGAAAAAGCCCTGGATCAGCAGCCAGATGATCTGGGTTTTCATTCAAGCAAGATCCTGTGACCTCAGGCGTGTCACACAGTCAGCACATTGTCCACCTTGAGTTCTGTGTCCCCTGGGAAGCAGGAATAAGCACAGAGAGGGATTTAATGGGGCTGTCTTCGTCAGCTACAGTTGCAGGAATCAGCAATTACCTGGAAAGGAGGAGGAAGGAGCTAAAAGATTGCCACCTCAGGGTTAAGGTAAATGTCTAAAATGGGGATGTCTGTCCAAGTTGGGCTGTAGAAAAGACAAAGAGCTGAACTGGAAGTTAAGGAGGTTAGAGACCAGTGAGAGCTGGTATCAGAAGACCTAAATAGTCGGGTGAGATCATGGGAAGGAATCGTGGGTGTCTTCCAAGTTACCACAGGGTGTCTGGGGTGTCCATGCCCGGCATTTTACCAGCTGCATCAATTACTTACCCCTCTTTCCTTTAAACAGTTACCATACTTAATGGACAAAACCACAGGCAGTCCTAGCGAGGAGCAGCATGAGCAAGAATAGAAACAGCAGCAGATGTTTGAACTATGAGACGAGAGTTATAGACCAAAGCATGAACACTGCCAGCCGACTAACTCTCTTTTGGGGACTCGATGGCTTCGATAAGGCAGCTCATTGTGAGTCACTACAGGCACAGCGTGGCTACTTCTGCCTGGCAGTGAGTAATAGGTATGCTTAAAGTACTTACCAGAAATAATAGTTTTGAGAAATAAAATTTATTTTATTTGGATGAGATTTTGCCTACATATATGTATGCATACCATGTATGTGCCTGTAGAGGTAAAAAACTGTCTGATCCCCTAGAATAGGAGTTATAGTTATATATATGTATGTTATATGTATATGTATGTTATAGATAGCTGTGAGCTACAAAGTGGGTGCTGAGAACCAAACCTGAGCCTTCTGTGACAATGACTCTTAATGACTGAACATCTCTTCACCTCCGGAGGGTGGTTTTTTTTTTTAAAGCAAACTATTTAAAACACATTTTAAAGATTTCTAACTCTTATGCTCTTCTTCCTTGGTTTTGGAACTGGATCTTGTGTACTATCAAGAAAGATTTATGTTTTAGAAAAAAATATTGAAAATGGAAATTGAGAAACAGCAGGAAGTAGGTATGAAAGAAGAGATCATTCACTAGAACATTTTTTTTAACCTAAATAAGGTAAATCAGAAGGCAGCTGTTATATTGGTGTTTTGGAGAATTATTGCTTAAATGGAAACTGAGCACTCTAACAGCTTGAAAAATCTTAAGCTTACAAAATGATCTGATACTGCAGCTCAGCACGGTGATGGAATGTATCCATTCAGCATCACACAGATTAAATCTCCTTTCTGCACCCCCTACTTCCCATGCAGGGAAATGTTGATTCCCAGACTTGGGCTTTGGAAGCGAGCTCTGTGGCTCAAACACTGGCTCAGCTAAATGGCCATGGCAATAGTACTTTCTAGTGTCACAGTGTTGAGAGGATTAAATAACACCATACAGGAGCTGCTCAGAACCATCCCTGACACACTAGAAGCAGTCCACTTCTCTGTGCCCGTGGGCTGGAATGAACTAATTATCTATTAGTGACGAGGGTAAGGAAGCTTTTCCAACAAGTAGACAGCATAAGTAAATTGTCAGTGAATTGCCACCTTGCTTAAAATACCAAGCAAGTGTTTTCAAACATTAAATGTACCTCTACCCCTTAATGTTTAAATATGAGTAAAGGCTGCTAATTATAAGAAGTAGGACTGGGGCCTCACTAAACCGATATGATCCAAAGGGGTTTTTTGCAAGGCAAACAGTTTTACTTCTTCAGATGGGTGCTTAATCAAGCAGGCAAGTATACCTGGCCAGAGTCCTGCTGGATTTTTAATCCTAACATAAAGAGATCCTGTGCCTTGTTCAAAGTGGTCAGATTTTCACCTCACATTGTCCAATTTAAAGTAACACAGTTGCTATGCTGAATACAGGTTTGAGCACAAAGGGCAACCTTGATGTTAACAGAAGTGCTGAGCTTAGCATAATTTTTACATGTTTGCAAACTGACTTCTTTAAAAAAAAAATGTTTTTTGTTTTTGTTTGTTTGTTTGTTTTTGGTTTTTGTTTTCTGTTTTTTGGTTTTTGGTTTTGGTCCTACTTAACCTTTTGATGTAAAAGGTAGCAGGTTTTGTTTCCCACAAAAGGAACAAAGTAGCATCTTTTGAAGTAGCCTTCAAATGGCTTAGTTTCCATTGCCCTATGCAGATAAGCAAAGCTCAGCCTCACCTCTTCCTGGATAGGATCAGCAAGCCCAGTACCATCTACCCCTACTTCCTGCCCCTCACCAGGTTAAACCACCAATTTCTCACAGAAGGTCTCTTCTCACTCTTCCAAGGACTTTCTTCTACCACTTTCCTTGAAGTGGGTGTGTGCTACTTTGAGTGATGGGCCCTACCTCACTAGCTCTTCCATCAAACAGGTACAAACATCTGGCCCAGGAGGCAGGCAGTACTGCTTTCATCATTTGTTTTGCTACAAAATTGCTTATTCAGTCTTGACAATGATCTAGAAATGTGCTACAAGATGTGACCATCTAGTGGCCAAAGGAGAAAATGACATTGTTCTTGAGTGTCTGACACATCCTGAATTGACACTCAAGAGCGCTCTCCATTTCTGTGCTTTCTGCTTACTCTGCACCAACCTGAAGCAATTCTACTCTCAAGTGACAAAAAACACTGTATGCATTACCATTTTACCAAGTTCATTCACATTCTAAATGAAGCAGGAAAATACACACACACACACACACACACACACACACACACACACACAGAGAAAGAGAGAGAGAGAGAGAGAGAGAGAGAGAGAGAGAGAGAGAGAGAGAGCGCAAGGGAGGAGGGAAAGAGGGAGAGCATTTTGTTTTTTTCGCAAATATGTTGACTTTCTTGGTGTCAAATGGATAATTATGAATATAAGCTGCAATTAAGCTCTTGTTCACAATTTCTCCTGTCTGTGCTCCAGCTTACATATAGAAGTTCTGGGATTACAGACTGTGTAACTGCATCCACTTTTATGTGGGTTGTAGGGATCAGAACTCAGCTCCAGACACTTGTCCAGCAAGCACTTTATCTACAGATCCATCTCTCCAGCCCTCAGCTTTGCTTCCTATCACACTTGCACCAACTCTATAAACTCTTCATATTCATCAATTCAAAATCCACTTCCCTTATAGCCCGTCCCAGTATTCCCCCATGACTTCACCAGGATTCAGACACAGCACTTCCCTCACTCTGCAGTTGTTTGCACAGCTGCCTCCTGCTTGCTAAGGGATTGTTGTCAGCATTTATCAAAGCTGGCCGCAGGCAATGTGGGCATGATGTGAGCAGCACCATGGAGAGCTGACTTTGTAGAGCACTGTCTTCAGAGTCTGAGGGTCCATAGACCCCCCCCCCCCCGCCTGACCCCTCAGGGGCTGCAGGGAGCTTGTTTACAGGTACCTGGTTCTCAGTTCTCTAGTTCCCTTTGCGTTCTTTCCTGGTGATCTGCTTCTGTTCCCTAAGGCACTACTTTCCTCTGTCATTCCTTTCCCACTTCACAAAGGCTTGCTCCTTCTCCTTCTCAAAAGTTAGTCTGACTGTGGAGTGTAGTTAGTGAGGAAGGAGGAAGCCTCCAGAATTACAGCACAGAATAATTTAAAATGTAGATGACAATACAAAAGAAATGAATGCTATTACAAATTATTAGGGAAGGCCAGTTAGACAACTCAGCAGGTAAAAGCAGTTGCTGCCAAGCCTGATTATCTAAGTTCGATACACTGATTCATACATCAGCATCAGATGGTAAATGGGGATTTCCCACTAAAAGTCTACGCAGAGGACATTGTTTGTCTTACTGAGTGTGTGCACCTAAAACCAGTCCATGGACAGGCAGACAGCAATTTGAATAGGCCGGTGTCCAGCAATGGGGAACCCAGCTGGATGAAGGCACCAAAGACAGGTGTTCTCTGCCTGTCCATTCCTTGATGATGGTCCAGTGACAGGTCAGTGTGCACCTCACAGGGCCATGTCTCTAAACAGGGTCACGGTACGGGTGCTTACCTCTTTGTTGGTCTGCTGTGTTTAATAAGTTCTGTGGTCTAATTCTTCTGATTTTTTAATAAACCCAACTAATGTTCTCAGATTACTTCGGCAAGTTTACATGCAGCACTGTTTTACTTTTTGGAATGTTACACATCAGTCTGTTTCTTGTGGGTGTGCTGGGCAGGAGGTTCTCATTGACAGGTGGTATCCAAATGTACAATAGGTATAGCCACCCTGTCTCTGTCTGGACTCAAAATGAAGACCAAAGCTGTGTTGTAAAATGGAATCACCCTTGTGGGATCCCTGCTGGGAACCACAGCCAGTCACTGGATGTGGACAGTATGGCCCTGCCACCTTTCTCTTCCAAGATCTGTCTCTGTCCAGACGTGACACCACAGTCCTAGAGAACTCACTTTGTATTTGTAGATGTTTCTTGCCTATTCTCTGAACAGTGTTTATGGAGGATGTATGGTTTTCCAGTGACTTCTCCTGCTCCATATTCTACTTTTCCTTCCTATCTTGCAGGGTTTGTTTCCATTACCACCCTCACTGTGCTGGCCTATGAACGTTATATCCGTGTGGTACATGCCAGAGTGATCAATTTTTCCTGGGCCTGGAGGGCCATTACCTATATCTGGCTCTACTCCTTGGCATGGGCAGGAGCGCCTCTCCTGGGCTGGAATAGGTACATCTTAGATGTACATGGACTGGGCTGTACTGTGAACTGGAAATCCAAGGATGCCAACGACTCCTCCTTTGTTCTCTTCCTGTTTCTTGGCTGCCTGGTGGTACCCATGGGGATCATAGCCCATTGCTACGGTCATATTCTGTATTCTGTTCGAATGGTGAGTTCAAGGCTGCAGATGTCCCTCGCCAAACCATGCCCCCCCCATCTGTCATCTAATGCAAAAAGAATCAAATTCTTCCTAGATGATCAGCTAGTCACCCAGAGTTGAAAGACTCTACAGGAGTTAATCTCTGGTTGGACTTTGCCCTGAGAGTAATTCCCTAAGCCGACCAGTGAGGAATGACATTTGCTCTCTGTGTACCACCCTCTAATACCAAAAGAGGCAAGGAAGGCAGATGGACAGTTCCAACCCGTACACCACACCACTCCCAACAGTTAAGAATTCTGAGAGGAAGAGTTACAATTTCAGTAGTTAGATTCATTCTGAGATCACATGAACTCTCGAGAGATTAGTAGAGGTATAAAGGACTAGAACATACACTGAGCAGGTTTTCTGTGGAAAACAGCCAGGAAGAGAATGAAGTAACTGACACACAGGCCCAGCAACATGGCCACATTAACTTCAGCCACGTGCCAATTCCTAACTGCTGTGTGTCTGTTAGGGTTATGTATATGTGCATTACATGTATATGTCTGTATGACTGATCATAACTATTTTTGGAATGAGTTATAAGCAGAGTAGGTCTAAGGGAAGGAATTAAGGCAGGGGAAGTGACTAACAGAGATTTGCCTATGTTATCATCAGAACAGAGAACAACATACAAATAATTTGGCTGCATTTCAAGCTGCAAGCTTCTCTCTGTAGAATGCCCATCACGGCACAAGTCTGTGACTCTGTGATCTGGCTGGATAATTTATGAATCAGTACTCAACAGAACAGTTTCCTCAATCATGAAGAAATTGTTTCCATTCATCCACAAACCTTTTGGGTTATCTTTTAGGGACTCGAAAATCTAAATAAAATAATTCATTTTACTGCTATTAAGTAAGTTAGAAAAGCACTTAAAAACCATTAAAGGGAGTTTGTGAGATGGCTCCTAAGTTCAGATCCCCCAAGTCTATGTAAAGCCAGGTATAGTGCAGTAATGTGTATCTGTAATGCAAGCAATTCTATAGCAAGATGAGAATATGAGGCAGGAGAACCTCGTGAAACTTGCAGGTTAGCTAAGAGCATCCATCTTATCTGAAATAAAATGGAAGATGGGAGTCTACACTGGAGGTTGTCCTCCAAGCTCCTCACATGCGCTGTTGGATGTGTGTGCCCATCCTTTCTCTGTTTCCCTCCCTCTCCTTCTCCCCAACCCATCTCTTACACACACACACACACACACACACACTAAAAAATTCTAATTAGCTATTCATTCAGCTCAACCACAGTAGGTTTTTAGTTGAGGGAACTGAAGAGATAAAGGCTAGATCCGGCTGCAAGATTTAGGTCAGAAGTCAATCTCCTGTGGTCCTTTACTTTCCACAAAGACAGGACAAACAATGATGGTCACTTGTCTGTTCCAAAAGGAAAGGGGTTATTTTCAGTCTCATCCTGTTTCCCTGCAGCTTCGCTGTGTTGAAGATCTTCAGACAATTCAAGTGATCAAGATGTTAAGATATGAGAAGAAAGTAGCCAAGATGTGCTTTTTGATGGCCTTTGTCTTTCTCACCTGCTGGATGCCTTATATTGTGACCCGCTTCTTGGTGGTCAATGGTTATGGACACTTGGTCACCCCAACTGTGTCTATTGTTTCTTATCTCTTTGCTAAATCGAGCACTGTGTACAACCCAGTCATCTACATCTTCATGATCAGAAAGGTAAGCTCTGGCATTACGGACTTTCTTTTTCATCCTGAGTAACAAGTAGAAATCGATTGTTTGAGGTTTGACAACTTAGAACAGTATCAAGGATAAAATAAAACAACAAATCTAAAGAAAAAGAACCTAAGTCAAGAATTCTGTTTAAGTGTGGTGGGGAGATGACTCAGAGGTTAAGGGTGCTGTTACTCTTCTAGCAGACTAGAATTTGAGTGCCAGCACACCCCTGTCAAGTGGTTCACTGCTGCCTGTAATGAGTGCTCCAGGGTATGCAATACCCTCTTCTGGCCTCTGCAGGTATCAGATGCACACACACACACACACACACACACACACACACACACGTACACACGCACACAAATAAATAATAACTTAACAATTGACTTTATTGCTTTGTTTTCTCTGCAGTTTCGGAGGTCTCTTCTGCAGCTCCTATGTTTCCGCCTGCTGAGATGCCAGCGGCCTGCTAAAAACCTACCAGCAGCTGAGAGTGAAATGCAGATCAGGCCCATTGTGATGTCACAGAAAGATGGCGACAGGCCAAAGAAGAAAGTGACCTTTAACAACTCCTCCATCATCTTTATCATCACCAGTAATGAGTCCCTGTCAGTTGAGGACAGTGACAGAAGCAGCGCATCTAAGGTTGATGTCATCCAAGTGCGCCCTTTATAAGAACAGAAGACAGAGTCTTGTATCAGCTGCCACACAGTGTCACTGTCAGGAGTGCCCCAGAGTCCCCATTTGGTATAATACTGATGGAACCTCTGTGGCCCTGCAGGAAGTCTGAATTGCCCATATGTTGTCTGTATTCAAGAAGGGACTGAGCAGGACAAATGATTTTAACTCAAGGGTGCTCCGTAACCTGAGAAACTCCTGGTGGCACAAGATGACCAGCTGGCATCATCATCTTCTATGCCAGGATTTAATATCTGAACAACTGTATTTGCCAAAGCACACAATACATTTTGTTTATCAAATGTATTTCACTATAAAATAACTGTCTCGTATACACGTGTACAATGACCAGAACATCTGGAATACATGGTGGCAGTGTTGGGTCCTATTCTGTGCCATGTTGTATGTTTGACCAATTCAATTTATTGAAGAGATAATAAAACAATCCCTACTTTTATCTGAAAACCAAAGGCTGTTGTCATGTGTGTAGTATAGCCTCAAGGGCTTCCAGTTCCAGAGGGTTCTGTAGGAAACACTGTCGAAAAGCAAAGAGACTTCACTGTGGTCATGTGAATCATTGGTACCACAGCAGAGAATGGGTATTGGAAACGGGGTACTGAGGATAGATTGACACCTCTATCTATTCATCTCAGAAACCAGACAAAATTTCCTTTCTTTTTAATAAGTTCCCACTATTCTGTCAAAAGCTGTACACCAGAGGAGGAATTCCTAGTAAGCAGTTATGTTCAGAGGGAGGTGCTAATATTTTAGAGTGTTAATACCATGTATTATTACTTAAATTTTATTGCATTTATTTATTGTGTGTGTGTGTGTGCGCACATTCATGTCATATTGTGCATGTGGAAATCAGAGGACAGCGTGTGGGAATCTGTTCTCTCCTTCCACCCTGTGGGTCCCAGAGATCACACCTACGTCATCAGGCTTGGCAGCAAGCTCCTTCTCTCACTGAGCTACCTCACGAGCTCCATCCACTGTATTATCTAATTTCCATTGCTTATCAGTAGGCTCCATGTGAGTAAAGAGGATACCTTCCCACATGTCATTGTTCATACCTGGGGGAAAAAAGAATACCCCCAAATATGTTCCAGTTTGCAGGGTCACCTTGAGTTGGAAGTCATTGAGAAGAAGCATGAGAAGAAAAACCTTCCCCCATTTGCCAAGGTGACCTCCTAAAGATTGATACCCCAGGGATTTCAATCCTTCGGCTTGTTTCCAAAAGTCTATTTCCTGTTGAAGATGTTATAACTAAGAACCTTGCAAGCCAGCTCACTGTCTTTTTAAATGGTTTTTAAAATGTACTAGATTTTTATTTAAGCTCTTTCCCAATATTGTTTCATATCACATGGATCTCCTTTTAAATATTTTTTTGTTTTTTAACTTAAAATTGCATTATTTCCTCCCTTCCTTTTTCCCCTCCAACTCTTCCCATGCACCCCCTTGTTCTTCCAGAACAAGGCCTCTAAAGATTTTTAATTCTCTTGCAGAGGCAAGTCTGTGTGGTTATGTGCCCTTGGGTACAGAGCCCAAGGAAGCTGGAGGCATTGGATCTCCTGGAGCTAGAGTTCTGGGCAGCTATGCACTGCTTGAAATGGGTGCTAGGAACTAAACTAGGGGTTTCTTCCATAGCAGCACACATACTTAACAGTTGAGCCATCTCTCTAGGCCCTAAATCAGCTCATTTTCTGAGCATCTCCTATGTGGATATGAAATATACATACATACTCCTAAACTTCAGTTTGTTTTCCTTTGACAATCTGCCTGTTGTATTAGCCATGGCCAACGAACTTAAATAAAAATAAACTTAAATAAAAGGAATAATAATTCTCTTTACTTTTGCAATGTTGGTGAATCTAACCTAAGGCCATGTTACATAAGTGCTCTCCCACTGAGCTACATCCTTACCAGGAAAACAATGATATTTCTTTCCCAACACATCAAACATAGATTGTTAAGACTCAAGGATGCCTTTGACATTATGGAAAATGCCAAATTGTTTTATCTTTATTTCCTCAGTTTTTGATTTCCTCAATAACCATTACTGTAGCTCTCAAAATTGACAATGAAAAGAATTTCTAAGTGTCCCAGTCAGCCAGCTTACTGAAGGAAGAAGCAGAGGAGGTATGTCTGCACTGCACTATGACGATGAAGTTAACTTCGCTTCTATCTGTGGGACAGTCAAGACATCACTTCCACATGTTTGAAATGGAATAAACAGTGTCTATGCTTCTGGAAAACACCCTCCTGTCTCCTCTCCCCCGGTATAAATTTTTACTACTAACAACCCTTTCTTACCCTTCACCTAGGATGCCATTAATATACTTTCCTTCTCTTCAAAAACTAATAATTCTGAGGTCTGGGAACAGGGATATAAAATAGATTTATCCTGGAACTCTTTGGAATCTCCTGTCTCTCGTTCACACCTCTACCTTTAGCAAGTGGCTATGAACCCGCAGGCCCCATCTACTGCTCTAAACAGGAAGTGGCGCTAGGCAAGCTGTGGTCCTCAGTCCTCAGTGTTCTTGATCTTATATTGTCCTCTATAGGAAAAAAAATTTTTTTTGAGAAGTGAAAGAGACCTTGGTTATTGTGTTTTTAAATCTAAAATGACCCAGCCCAAGCATGCAAGCTGATGAGACACTGTAAAAACAGCGCTCTTCTTTCGCTCGGCTGACAAATAATGAAGTCTACAGTGAACTTAATTATAGGCTGACAATTAGATTTCAGTAGTGAATTGAATATGGCAATGGAAGCATGCTTTTCACCCTTGATATTGAAGAGGAATCAAGCATTTGCTACCCAGAACTTTGACACTATGGCTAGTGAACTGGGGAATTTGTCCTAGTGACTCCATGGAACTTGCAGGGAAATGTCTGTGCTCCTATTCCAGTAGCCAGTGGTTCCCATCCAGGCAGGTTTTCTCAAGAATTCCAGAAGTCTCGGGGACAGGTGGTGCACAAATATGTAGGTGCTTCCGATGGCTGTCAGGGACCCAAGGACAAAGAGTCCTCTGTTTATCACCTGCAAGTACAACAAAACTCTAAAACCTTTTCATCCAGAGATTAAATCTTGAATTAAACTTTGTCTTTACATCACAGACAAGCACGTGATTTTCTTCCTACATCACAGACAAGCACATGATCCTCTACTGCTTTTTAACTGGAAGCACCAACTGACTTGCTTGACTTCTGTTCTGTCCCTACTCATATTTCAGTTTGCATGCCACTGGCTCTTCTTCTTTGTGTGTTTCTATCTTTGAGGTCAGGAACTCTATTTTATTCGATGTGTATGTGTATATGTGTATTATATGTGCAAACAAGGGAAATACACTTGCCAGTGTGTACGCATGTAGAGAGCAGAGGTCAATGTCAGGTGGCTTCACCCTTCTCGCTCTAATTTACTGTTCTGAGACAGAGTCTATCACTGAACCTGAAGCGCCTGTTTTGGCTGGTAAGCCCCTGGAATCAACCCCACCCCCACCACTAGAACAGGCAGTTGTGTCCTGTGTTCAGCTTTTATGTGGGTGCTGGGGAAGTGTCTCATAATCATTCAGGAAGTACTTTACCCACTGAGCAACCTTATCAGTCGGTTTGTATTTGTTTTTATAGAGGTAGAACTTACAGATAGATCTTGATTCTTTCCAAACCATTCCCTATACAGTGAAGGGATCTAGGTAAAATCCTAGCTGTCTCAGTAGGATGCTGAAGGTCCCACTTGCCTCTCCAGCTTCCATATGGCCATTCTTACACCCAGGGCCTCCTGGCGCTTGTTTCTTCAATCTTCATTCTCTAGCTTACTCCCCTATTCTCCTGCAGTGGTTCATGAAGCATACTCCACCATAGACACTTTTTCTCTTAGCCCCTAAGCCACATATAGGGTCAGGACAACATCTTGTTCATCAAAGTATCTGGTGCAGTATACATGTACCTAATACAACTATCAACAAATAAAATTCCCCAAAGCAGTGAGGAATTAGAATAGCATGAAATGGCACCTCTGAGTCAATGGCTCAAAATGCATGCATCACTACATTCCACACTACATTCCACTAGGTAGTGTTTTATAAACGACACAATTCGGTCTAACTTGACAAGTTAAGCCCACAAAGATACCACACAATGCAAAAGTCAAGAATGAATCACATAGCTAATACAAGGTAAAAAGCTGAGAAATCTCAGCCACAGTTTCCTCCTCAATCTCACTTTGCTTCCCGGCCCCCATCATGTAGTGTGTGTTCCATACTCTGTAGACTTGAGACAGGTTTTATCTGGAAGATAAGTATGTCTCTGTCCTGTCATGTCTGTGTTTTCCTGACATAAATATGACCATGAAACTGTATGAAATTTCAGCACATCATGTTGTTCAATAGTCTTTTTCCAACCTTTTTTTGCCAATGCCAGCGCAGCACTGCCTCGTGGTATCTTATTCTGGTGAAGGCGACCTGCAGAGAGATTTAAAAGCATCTGCTGTGTTCTTTAATAGCTAAACAGAGGTGTCTAATGAGAGAAAGTCTTTAATACAGTCCTTACCATGGTATAGAGAGGGATAAAGGTAGATGGCATAATTGCATGAAGAAATTTATCCAGGAGCCTTTGAAAAAGGAACCACCTAGAGTTGACATGTGCTCGCATCTGTAATGACAAGAGTCTTAAAAAGAATACTTGGAACGAAGCACCTCTGTTTCCTTACAACAACATACTACTATTCTTTATTCACAGTTGTCACAATAATGGATGCTAACAAAAGAGTCAAATAAAATCTCATTTTCATAATAGTTATTTTCAAGCTCTCTTAAGAAATTTCAGTAGTATAATACATTGCCTTAAAAACACACACTGTCTAGTCTGGTTTTATTCAGAAGAAAATTACAATATAAAAATCTTTGTTTCAACAAAACATTTATTGGACCAGAATTTTTTTTGTTTGTTTTTTTGTTTTTTTGTTTTTGTTTTTCGAGACAGGGTTTCTCTGAGTAGCCCTGGCTGTCCTGGAACTCACTCTGTAGACCAGGCTAGCCTCGAACTCTCGAACTCAGAAATCTGCCTGCCTCTGCCTCCCAAGTGCTGGGATTAAAGGTGTGCGCCACCACTGCCCAACCTGGACCAGAATTTCTAGCTTAAAGATCTGATCAATTTCTGTTGTCCACTACTTAATGGGCAACACTGTTTCTGGCAACAAGGATTACTTACTGCCATGTCTGTCCTTGTTTATATCACTTCTTAGAACAAAAGCATTGTAGCCATCTGGGTTTTGCTCTCTCTCTCTCTCTCTCTCTCTCTCTCTCTCTCTCTCTGTCTCTCTGTCTCTCTCCCTCCCTCCCTCTCTCTGTGTGTGCTTGCGTACGCACATGTGCTCACATGAGCATGTACATGCACACACACGCATAGATATGCACACTTCTATATGCACGTGAATGCAGAGACTAGAAAGGTGTCCTGTTCTGTCACTCTCC